AAATCATGAGGGTAGGGGGATGGTGGGGAGGTGTGTAAGGGGGAGAAAGGAGGAACCTATCACAAAGTTGGATATAGTCCCTACCATCACCCCAAAGGTGGGACGAACAACAGAAATGTGGGTGAAGGGAAACGAACAACAGAAATGTGGGTGAAGGGAGACTACGGGCAGTGTAAGGCATGAAAACACAAAAATAATATATAATTGCTCAAGGATTCATGAAGGCGGGAGGGTGGGAAAGGGAGGGGAAAATGAGGAGCTGATACCAAGGGATCAAGTAGAAAGAAAATGTTTTAGAAATGTTGATGGCAACATATATACAAGTGTGCTTAATACAATTCAGTAATGGATTGTCATATGATTTGTAAGAGCCCCCCAATAAAATTACAAATAATAATAATAAATGAAAAAATTAATGCAGGCATACAACAATTCTGTTTCTGGATCTATCTAGTTTTAAAAAGTAACAGTATAAAACATACAACTAATGGACAAGAATATTAACATATCACTGTCTATGATAGTGATAAAAATGGAACTTATCTGTCAAGAATGGAAGAGTGTGGTCATGTGCCTTAATTCTGGGACACGGGAGAAGGAAGTCTACGTGAATAACTTCTGGGTGTAGACATTCCCCTGCTTGTACTCGCTTTTCCTACTGACTAGATAAAATGTGATTTGGCCTGGACCATGAAAATAGACAAAACACTCTCAGAATGGCAAAGGAATAAATCAGGCTTGGTTCCTAATTCCTTGAAGCTGGCTTCTAGCCCTTGAGTTCTGTTGCCTGGACTTGCAAAAGAAGTTTCTTTTACAGTTTAAGCCACTATTAGAGAAGCCAAAACCTCTATCTTGTTCAAAACATCATTTTATTAGGATATAATCCAGATAACATATCATTAAATAGTTCCGTCACATCAAGCAGCATTGTACAATCACTACCACAATCATTTTCAAAACATTTTCTTCTTCCTACACTCCTTGATATTAGCTCCCCATTGCCCACCTTCTGTATCTACCAGGAGCCCCTAATTCTAGGTATGCCTCTACAGATTCACCCACCTGGGATTCATATACCAAAAACCATAGAAAGATACCTAACAGAGAATCAAGCACTCTACTAACAATAACAATAAACAACAGAGATAAACTCCAATTCAAAACCGACAAACAAGCAAACAGGAAATATCATTGTGTGCTCACCTTCCCAATATGATCACTGAAGACAAAATGTGTGCATAAGCAAATGTGGTGAAGAAAGCTGATGGTGCCCAGCTATCAAAAGATATAG